ATTTGTTTTGCTTGTTTAATCACTGTCTTCCTAGTTGTGTTCTGGCCTTCATGTCTTAGTATTTGTCTTACAAATCTGTCTTCTTTATTCTTTTTAATGTACTTTGCTAAAGATATTATTGTTCTGTTGTACGTGCTAACTATCTGCTTCATGCCTCTACCTCCATCTCTTCTCGAAACATATAACCGATTAATATCCGCTCTAGGATGTAGGATTCCGTTGATGGTCAATAGTTTACGGGTNTATTATTATTTAAGATGAAGGATTGACCCTTTCTGTTCTATTTTAACAAACATTCCTAAAATAAATTCCAGTAAATATTTTTTTAGCCGTAGTCTGTAATAATTAAATATACGGGCATTTATGATTACATTACCGCGCTCCACTTATAGCGCCATCTACGGACACCCGATCGACCGCGTTATAAACTACTATGAAATGAAAATCGCGGCTACTGTCTATATCACCGCTCGATTACGTTGGGGCCCGCGGTGGCGGCGAAGCCCTACACAATTTAGGTATACCAACGCGGGGTACACGCGGAGGCCTACGCTCAATACTCTTGTCTACGTGGGGAATCCTACATACCTACAAAAGATACCTGCATGGGGGCTCTAGGGGGGCAAAGCCCTAGGTGGGATAAAGCCCTAGGTGGGGCAAAGCCCTAAGTGGGGCAAAGCCCTAAGTGGGGCAAAGCCCTAGGTGGGACAAAGCCCTAGGTGGGGCAAAGCCCTAGGTGGGGGTCCTGGGAAGCACGCGTCTACGTGGGAGCCCTAGGGAGCACGCGCCTACGTGGGGGATTCTGCATACCTACTTGGAGATACCTACATGGGGGCCCGAGGGGCAAAGCCCTAGGTGACTACATTTTGAATTTCCCCGCAAAAAATGCTGCGCTCTGATTGGCTGGCGGGGAAGGGGAAGGGGGAGGGAAAAGGAGGAGGAGTGGGGGTAAAATTCGTCAAAAACTGCTAATATAAACCTTCATATGAAAATACATGGGATTTTGGCTCCGTACGCCTATAGCTTATCTACTCAGCTGATTTCCCCAATTGTCTTGAATTTTGCAATTGGTTCCTAAATCGAAGTGCAGCAGAACCTAAATCCTATGGACTTTTGTAGGAAATTGTCGTGTATCACACCGAGGTAGAGAATGTAGAACAGTTGCGGAATCGTATCGAAGATGCCGCTGAAGAAATACGTAACAACCCTGGTTTATTCCATCGCATCCGCCGCTCATCTAACCAACGTGTACACTTGTGCCATCGGGCTTACAGCAAATTAAAAAAATTACATTATGATGTTAATAAAACTGATTTTTGGCAAGGCATGTTCAGACCTCCTCGAGGTTCTTGCTTGGCAACAATGACAATTTAATATGGTGATTGCATAATTATAAAAAATAATTTATAGCATTTTAAATTATTATTGGCTGGCGAGAGTAAACCGTTAATTTATTGTCTTTATATGAGCGAAAATATATAAATATCTCAACGTTGCATCTAGAGCGCCTTGTTCATATCGTAGCCGTGCGCAATGCTGTGAATAACCGGCTGAGGTGAACCTGTCAGTAACAGCCTGAAAAGGGGGTTAAATAATGATTTGAACATATTTTTTTCAGCTTAAATATGCATTTAAATTTGTTTTTATCACGCCATCGTATTATACTCATTTTTCTCTATCTCCTCTTAAAATTAATGACATTATGACTGAGTGTATGGACTATTACGCGATGTGATATTAGCGGACAATAAAATAAGTTTAAAGGGCCGCGTGACATACTTGTTTTTGGACAGTTACTGTTTCGATACCACTTTAAGCGAGAGTATGCGGTCCTGTAAAACTGAAAGTACGTGTGAGAATAAACTCCGGTTATTATACAATAGCAAAGCGGACAAAGTGATAAACTAGCGAACGGGAGAACAATATATTGTTGATGAAGATCCGAAGATATTTGCTGTAACACAGGTGCTGTAAGAAGGTCAATTGTGCGGTTCGAGAGAAGAAAATTTAGAGTCAGTCGTTGCGGGGCTCCGGTATTCAAAGGTTGGTTTAGAAGTCCGTGTAGGGCACTAAGCGTTTCTATACTTTTAGAGTTAGAGTACGGGGATCTGGGATCCAAAAGTGTGCGCTAGGCTCGCGATCGGGTATTTAGAAGAATTGGATTTGGGCTCAGCTGTCATTAATATTTTTTGTTGGAGTAGATATTTCGAGTGTTGAACACCTTTTATCATTTTGTTTGGCTTTACCTTGATAGCGTTTGGCAGTCAGACGAGAAGTAGATTTTGTTTTATGGTAATAGCGAGAAATGCGGATTCCTCTCACCCAGAGAAGCCATAATTCATATAGGTGAGGCATTTAGCTTGAGACAAAATAATATCTCGGTTGGACTCGATTATTTCGAAAAAAGTTTCAGACAAAAATTGTAGGGCACCAAGGGGGCCATTAAAACGTCCATATTACGACTTCTCGTCTAGGCCGGAAGTAATATTCTTAGACCGGAAGTTATTTTTTTTATGGAAACACCCATTTTTTACCACAGATTTCTATTGAAAAACGAAAAAAAACTTACTCGGATACTCCGTTACCTCAAGATTCTTATTTTTTTTTGTTTTTTATTACCATTTTATGTCCAAAATATGGATTAAACAGAAAAAATAATAACAAAGTTTTTTTTTTCGTATTTCAATCGAAGTCTGTGGTAAAAAATGGATGTTTCCATTTAAAAAAATCAACTTCCGGTCTAAAAACACCACATTCGGTTTAGACCGGAAGTCGTCCCCTCGGTGACCTACAATTTTTGTTAGAAACTTTTCTCGAAATAATCGAGTCCTAAGATGATTGATGATTGATGAGATGATTGTCTTAAAATAAAAGCCCCACCCGGTATAAATACAAAGTGGCTCACTTTGCTGAACAGATGCTTACCTTACATTTAAGTTTTGAGCTAATGTTACTTATTTGATGTTTTGTGACCATTATGCATCACTGGTGCTGCGACACCATTCTGTCTAACCGGCACTTAGCCTATTTATTCTAGTTTTGTCATATACATATATAATCATCTACCGTCCAGGTGCCTTTAACCTCATTTTATTAGTTTTATTACTAGAAATTTTTGCGCCACTGTTGCTGTGACACAGTTTGGCTTGTATAATTCATTTTTATTTTTTCTTTGATACATATTTGATTTGTTATATAAATATTCATTTACTGACCCGACGGTTCTATTCTCTTGATTTTTTTTTAGTTTTGTCTTGTATTGGCAACTTTGCGCCACAAGCGCTATTTTATCTTTTTCATTTAATATATTCGTTTTGTTTATATCTTTTATTTGTTTTTACTATTCTAACTCTAACAATTATTTCTTTTCGACATAAAGCCCGCGCATTGAAGGTTTCAACCTTCAACCTTAAGCCGCGGCCGGATCCACGCGTATACTCTCTTATTTCCAAGGTCAGGTGGAAAAGAGAGAGTTTTTCGAAAATTACCTGACCTGGTGGCAGCGGTATAACTACCAGATATCTATAAAAAAAAGTCGTCTCGGCAATTTATACTGTGGTTTTGCTGTCAAACGACATACGTACATACACAGGGGTATTACAGCTGGCCATACCGTGACAGATAGATCTCGGGAGTTGCCTGTGAAGGCAACTTACTTACTCTAAACTGAGGGTAATATTCACGTGGGGTTTCCCCCACGTAAAAATTAAGCCGAACAAAAAAAATATAATTACCTACTCCAGAGTACGTTCCTGTAACGTCACTCACCTACACTGACTGCCGAACACCGCTGCCGATAAAGTTGTTAATTAAGCAATCACAAATTTGATGGCCGAGCAAGGACGCCAGTGACGATTGCAAGTAAGAGTTTTAAAACCGAAAAGTATTTTATAAATTCAAGTTAATAATCCTTGTTAGTCGTCAAAATTTTGTGTAAAATATAGAAAATACTCATATCGAAATTACCTTCCTTCAGCTTACAGCAAAGGAAAGTTAAGAAACAATTAGCGAAGTTTTGTTATCAACCAATAGAGAGTAGAGCTCTTAAGAATCCACTCTCTTTTTTCAAAGACGATAACTGATAAGATTTATATAAGAAAATTTCATTTTCAGAAAGCAGGTAAAAAGCAAAAGTTTTGGAATCAACTTCTAAACGCAACATTCTGAATCTTGGAAATAATGTGTGTAAATTAGATATTTATCATTCCAGAAATTGTTTAATTTGTCTTTGGTTTATTAGTTATTTCTAAATCATCTCTTAGAAACTAGGTTCTCTTTCTCTCCAAGTTTAACCCGGTGAGTGAAAATGAACTTGAGCTACGGAACAGTAATTGCTGGAATTCATTCAAGATTCTATGTATCGCAATTAGAACTTAGATGTTAATGAGTTTTCTACATTTTGAAATTAAGGTTGTAATGATACTGCATGTAACGACAGATAAATAAGAACACCTTAGGTTACGCTATTAAATCAAATAACATTAATTAATATCATCTAACGGTATAAATAAATCGGAATAAACTAAATATATTTTATTAAATTATTGAATATTGTTTATACAAAAAAATCGTTTGTGAAATTTACCAACGATTCAACGAATTTTAATTTTCCTCGCCGTGTTATGATTTTTTCTTTATCTTTTTATATATGTACATTATATTATATTATGTTCCGGGAGTTATACGTGCAAATCCTAAATCCGGGACCATACAGCTAATTCCCGGTACAATCACAGAAAATCCCGGTCATACCCATATAGCTAGATGTTCTTTTAAAATATCGTCAAGATCTGCACTAAAATTTATGAGTCCACGAAATACATCAGGGTTGTCCGAATTTTCTGTCTCGTCGTGTCCGCGAAGTGCTAATTCGAAATACATTTGGATTCTTTAAATATTTTGTTGATATTTAATATGATTAAATACATAAAATTTTATGTATGCTGCTCCGCAGCTCTTATGGTAAAACCGCCACTGGGTATAAGAATTCTGTTAAAAACAGATATATAGCAACTTTAACAATACGTACTTTCTTCACATGCCGTATATATAGTTCCAGGAAGTTTCGAATGGGGTTCTGCTGTTTTAGCTGCAATTATTACATTAGCTCCATCTCTAGCTACCTTTAGCGCGATAGCTTTTCCTATGCCTCTGCTTGCACCCGTTATAAAAATAGTTCGGCCAGCCAATTTACTAAAAAAATAACAAATCTATAAATAAACATGTAGTAATGTATGTAATTCAAACTTTTAAAAATATATTTTATTATCCTATCGTATTTTTCATTTATTTTAAAGATTAAACCAATGTAAAAAAATTTAAATATTTTCTCTTTTTCTCTAAAAAATCCCGTCAAATTGTAACGGTATCAAGAAACTGTCATCATCATGTTGTCTTTCACCAAATTCTCCCCATTGCCTGCAGTATTAGGACTCTCCTTTCCTGAGTGGTGGCAAAAGGGTAAATGGAATTTTTGGACACCATCATCATGCCAATCTCAACGGATACTGGCCGATTATCCTCCATTGGTGGATAAGTAGGTTCTTTGGAAATATGAGCAATTTTTAGAAATGACATAATATTCTATTTTTAGAAATGATGTCATCGAAAAAAAATATAAATTTTGAAATGAGTATGAGTAGACACAAGGTGTCTAAAAAAATTGCGTTGAAGTTCGAACGGCCCAGAGTATATTTCAGAAATTTATTGATTGATTGCAATATTTTTATGAAAATTCTTATCTAAACAAATGTTCTTTGCAAATTTATGTATGATGTTTCATAAACCTGACATCATTCTTTTTACTTCTTTTATTTTCTTTATTGAAATGTTTTCAAGAAAAGTTGTATATTCACTAACCAATCGCTTTTTGGAAAATCCCTATACTGAATGTTCTATAAAATTGACCCAGGCCTGATTAACGGGCAAGTTTACTTACTGAAGTCTTTTACTGAAAAATTGTATATTTACTAACCAAATTTTGGAAGTTTATACTGGATGTTCCACAAAATGATCCACTTCACAATTAGGGCAATAACTTAGTTTTTTGCCATTTCTGCTTTAGATACGTTTTTGGATGAAATATTTTATTTTTACTAACCAGATACCTTTTTGGAAATTTATACTGGATGTTCCACAAAATGATCCACTTCAGAATTACGGACACAGTGCAAATTAACTTATTTCTTTGACATTTCTGCCTTACCTAGGTATTATCCTGCAACTACGCAAATTGTTTTTTTTTAGGCAAAATACAAATTTTATTAGTATTGTTTTGTCCACGGACGAAGCCAGTTTCAATCCAGACGGAGTAATGAATTGCCATAATTTGCATATCTGACATGAAGAAAATTCTCATACAATAAATAGTACAGACAAAACACCAATATGGTTAACATATGCGCGGGGATTATTGGAATATCATCTCATTGGTCGTTCTTTTTTGAAGACATTAAATGCTGCCATGTATTTGCAATTCTTGCACTAAAGCTTAAATGATTTATTAGAAAATGTGCCCTTAGAAATTAGAAATCGGATGTAGTTTATGCATGACGTGCATCGCCCCATTCTAATAATTTAGTTCAGTCAGCACTTATGAAATACTTTTGGTTATCAATAGATAGGTCGATATGAGCCTATTTTATGGCCACCGAAGTCGCCCGACATGACTCCATGGGATTCTTTTTATAGGGAAATTTAAAGAGGCTTGTGTATTCGACGCCAGCTCCCACCAGGAAAAACCTGATAGATTCGAGACAATTTTGGAATATTGTTTTCAGTACAATGAGAAAACATCTGTCGGATAAAGAAATGTAAAAAATGCGACCATTTTGAAAATCTGCTGAAGTAAACAGGAAGTAGCAAAGCTTTCGAATTTTTAACAGCCTTGCGTTTAAGTGATTTGGAAAATGTATCAGAATAAATTATTCTTGCCTCCACACAATTGCCGAGTGCTTATCCATCCATAAGTTAGATGCATGTAAGCATTAATGAGATGTAGTAATGCCAACTTTTATTATTTTAATACGAATTATTAGTTGTGATGTTATTCCATTATTATTGTGTTTAAATAACGTATGTTGATACATTTATAATTAAATAAATTAATGTTTAAACGTGTTACATAAAAACTGATTTTTTTTCGAAAACGGCTGATTTTATCAAAACAAATGTAAAGTACCTTTTTTAAAGAGGAATAACCAAAGTATTTAAAAATTTAGTTTTCAACTCTGCAAAGCGAAACCTGTTGGCCAACGAGTGTTGTGGCAAGTCCGTTCCTTACTTCCCTGACAGTGTAAAACATCTACTATAGTATGGTCTTATGAGTTTTTATAGCCTACATGAAATATTACAATTTTATTAAATTATCCAAGTCGATTCGAAAGTTAGAACCGAAAAGGTAAATCGCTGGACACTCCTTTGAGGCTCTGCCTCTCCGTTAAGGGCACTTTAGGAAAAAAAATTATGACAAACTAGAGTTATTTTGACCTCCCTGTACACTCCCGAAAGTATGCCATATACTTACCAGACACCCTGTATAAGTTACAAGAGTTGCGTTATTAAAAAAAAAATCCGGTAGATATTCTATAATCTGCATCCTTGTCGTCAGATTCATCTTCGAAACGAACTAATAACTTATTTCATATTAATCTGAATGAAACGCAAACAAATATGCACATGTCTGTCGCCTGGATTTTGTATGCGTGGCGACACCAGCAACGGTTTGGTACAACTTCACTATTTTAGCAATAACTTTAAAACGAAAATAGATATCGACCTCCAGTTTGTGTATTTGTTTTCCATAATGAATGGTCTATTAAGCCATGAAAAAAAAAAACATATATCGCTGCATTTAATTTTTTTAATAAACGGAGACAATTACAAAACTTCTCATTAGCGTCATCTACCGTTGTGCAGGAAAATAATATTTTTATTCCTATATCATAAAAATAAATTTTATTAATAGTTCTTTAAAATGAGGCATCGTTTATTGGAATCGATTAATGCATTTAGAAGTTATGACAATTTAAAAATTTCAAGATAGCGTCCTTCATACCGACGTTGCTATGGTAATAACAAAAAAAAGTTCAAACAAAACTTGTGAAAGGTTTAACAGTGTATCTAAAAAATGTATTTTCAACTTAGGTTATATATGCGAAATTTCGAAAAACCGACAATTTTCTGTAACACTATAGTAGTTGCGCCCCCTAGCGGTGAAGTTACAAACTTGAAAATATTTTAAATCAATTTCTTTTGGTCGTATTTGTTAATAGAATTTTTATCCCATAATCGTAGCACGTCTAGTTTCCTATGTACAGCCGTTCGATACCGTTAATAGATCACCCTGTATACCTTAGTTATAGGAGTATTTCATTTAAAGACCACTATATATATTTTTTTTATAAAAAATACACTATAAATATGGAGAAGAAATGCCGTCGGATGGAATATTAATTTTAAAGTAAAAGAGGCTATAATATTTGTTGCGTTTACTTAAAGAATTGTTAGGTAGTAGTAGGAGAGATGAAGAATATTTTTTCATTGCTGATTTTTTCTCTTAAACATGATATAAGTAAAACCTTAAGATCACTGAGCTTTGGACTAAAAATGGAGAAAAAATAATAATAATTCCAGATACCTATTTAGTTTTTATTTCAACTCAGACGCTTTTCTCTCACATCTATGTCGTACGAGTAAAATAACAAAATAGAACAAGTTAAATCACTAATTTAATTAATGATGCAATTATGAAGGATTTCGGTTATTTTCAAAAAGTTGTGGGAAAATATAAAGTTATTGTACCGCTTTTTTATATAAACATTATTTTAAACGAAAATAATTCATTTACATAAGATTTACCGTTTTACTACAAATTGATGGTTTGTAAAGTCGAAATGTTTGTTATGTTGTTATGTATATGTTAGGTTGAGAATATTAATTTTCAAGTTTAATTTAATGATAATATACTATATATTATCGTTAAGAATTAAAATTCCTTAGTAAACGTATTTCTCTAGTTTAGTACTACTAGATTTACCCTAGATTAAACATTTAAGGTATACATATATGTATACAGGGTGTATCCAAAATGCTTGTCCAAACTTGAATAACAGATTCCTGGTGCAAATTTGACGTAAAGTATTGTGTCATTCGACTGGGATCACGTGAGCAACCATTGAGATTGAGGTTCAGAAAATGGACAAAAATAAAAAATACGTTTTAAAATTTTAATGCATGCGCAGAACATACTTGTAATTAGTACCTTTATTAGTTTCTTCAAAATCGCAACGTTAGCATAAATCATGACAAGGGAAGTCAATGAAACAGCATTACATCATTCTAATCCGGTATTGCATCATTCGATTTAGGTTCGATCAGCGCGGCAAACAAATTGGCGGTAAATTCAAAATTCTAAATTTAAACGCTTGCGCAATAGATATGGGAGGGAGGCGGAGGGGAGAGGGTGGGGTTGTCGGTAAACTTAAAATCGATTCACGATAAGAGAGGACAGTGAACTCCAAACAGCAGTTGGCGGTAAATTTAAAATTCAACCTTGTTCGACCATTCAGAGCGCAGCAATAAAATTGGCGGTAAATTCAAAATCAAAAGATGAACAATAGAAAAGGCATATACAGGTATGTATTACATTAGACGGAATTGGCGGTAAATTCAAAATTCAATATTAACAAAAGAAATAAAATATATGTAACATTAGGGAGTTTTTGCATATCGGTTTTAAGAATACCTTAAACGATAAAGTCACGTGAGAGAGCATTGCGCATGTGCGACAGTTACCGTTGGCGTTTATCGTTACGGTATTCCGATATCCAACCCAGATTACGGTATTAGTTTACCGTGCAGTTAGGATAGTAATTTTGTGTACGAATAATAATCCATCCATTTTTCTTTCACTTGCCGACTGCCTTTTACCGCAAAAGTATCAAATGAAAGCATAACCGTCAGAATTGAGGTTAGGACACGCTATACCATTGCGAATAAACGACACGATATGCAAAAACTATAAGCATTCAGTACACGCTATTTGTCAATACGGTATTCAGTCACGTGTTTTTAACGTTTATCGTATTCGTAAATACCTTATGCAAAAACTCCCTATTAAAATTTAAATGCTTGCGTAGTATCTACTACGGCAGCATGGGGATTAGCGGTAAATTCAAAATCTAAAATAATAG